TCCCCCACTAACTAGGATTCGTCCTCAAATCATTTAAAACGTCCGTCAGTACACAACTGACCTCACCGAGGCCCCTATCTAATCAATATACTCACGTTCCAGACCCTATTTGCTCATACACACCTACCTCCCCCGTCCATAGGTCGCAACCCATGGATCATACCACTCCCCCCACTCTCAGGTCGCAACCCTCAAGTCATACCGGCTCACTATTAGGCCACCAGCCTTCTAGCTACGGTATCCGGGAAGTCTCACGCTCGCTCTCGGGTCGTCACCCTCAAGCGTGCACTCGAATCGTCATCTGAGGCCATCACATCATATCCGAGCAAATAAGTCTAAACGTCCCCGAGCATATCTATCGATCAGATATACCTCACGTTGATGAGGTCATCAGAACCAAACAAGACCCGGAGTTGACCACACCAGCCGGTTCAAGCATCAACCAAACCGTACCGGACCAAAATGGAGAATTTTGGCGAATATGGAGTTCTGATCAAGCGCAAGGCCTAGGGTTGATTATTCATCATAAAATCACCCCTAAGAAGACTAGTGGTTCAGGAGAAATCAGAAATCAACGGACCAGATTGAAGACTCTCCACGACGACCCATCCCGACATTACCATGTTCAATTCCATCGACCATTTGAAGACTTTTCTCGACCAACATTGAGTATTCACTCGAAAAGTGACCATTTCATGAAGATCTATGGAGCCAGAATTGAAGAAGAACGATCCGAAATCATAATCGTTCATGAAGACCCGTTGTGATTTTGGATCGTTCATCACTAAGACCGCCCACCCCAGAATCATAGGAAAAACAACACGAATTCTAAAACGACAGAAGGAAACAGACTGAGTCTAAGAAGTAAACCTGTGATCGGCCGTCCAGTGCTTGGCTCTCCTGTCTCCACGGTCGAGTACCCCCGCGATCTTTCGATTTGTGCCACCAGCGGTGCTCCCAACTGAGCCAAAGACTGCCCTCCTAGTTGCAATCCTGGCTGCACCACTACTGCACCACTGGCTGCATAACCGGCTGCACCGCTGCTACCGCCATCTGCTGTAACTTAGGACACCTCGTCTTGATGTGCCCCGTCATTCTATAGTGGTAACAGACACGGGTATCCACCCACGGCTCGCTCTTCTTCCGGCAGTTCGCCATCCTATGATCCGTGCTCGCACACCTGAAGCACTTCCGATCACCCTGACTCACTCTGAAAGTGACATCCCACTACCTCTTCTGTCCCTGAACAGGTTTGCCACCTCTGCTCGGAACTGTCTGCGGCTGGGTCTTTTTCGGCTGCACCGACGGATTAGGAATCACCCCGTGACTCCTCAACTTGTCCTCGATCCCCGCCGCCACCTCAACCAACTCCACACGCGATGCATAGGCCCGCACCTTGCACCGTACCCTCATGTCAGGGCTGAGACCCTTCATAAACTGACCCACATGCATCTGCTCAGGATCTCCTGCACGGCCCGAGTACACCAAGAGTCGCAAAACTCCGAGTGATACTCCCGCACTGACTGGTCGTCCTTAGTCAACGCCAAGAACTGCGACTCCATCCGATCCAGTGCCTCTGCCGGGAAATATTTGGCATTAAACTCTGCCATGAAATCTTCCCATTCTGCCAATCCCTAACCCCTCGTGGCCAGCACACTCTGCCACCACAAATGTGCATCACCGGCAAAGTAATGGGCCGCCAGGTCCACCCGATACGCCTCCGGGCACCTCATCGACTGGAATTTGACTTCAGGGACATCTTGGAAATGTTAAAGTCAGATTCTCCTTTTAAAGACATTGTCTTATCTTTGTACAGAAATGACACTTCATTTTTCTTCCAATTTACATTGCAATCACCCAACGTACTCAACTAATAGACTCCCAAAATAATGTCAATTTGGCCTAGCTCTAGTTACACAAAATCCGTTGTAAACTCCAAATCTTGAACTGTAAAACTTACTTTTCACAAACTCTCATTCCTTGGACTGTGATCCTTTTTCCCAGCCTCACATTAAAGTTTGGATCTTCTCTACATTTCAACCTCAGTTTCGTAATAGCTGCTGGAGATATAAAATTGTGGGTTGCCCCACTGTCGAGCATAATAATGACACTAGCAGTTCCAACCATACCCCTCACTTTAGTCATTGAAGGTGAAGATATACGAAGAAAATGAAAGTGTAATACATTCACATATAGGTTCTTCAACAATATCCTCTTCAATGTTCCCTTCCAAGACCTCTACTTCATAACCATTCAAAACAGTCAACACTCGCAATTCTTTGTTTGGACATTTATGATCTTTGTGCCAAGCTCCATCATACTTAAAGTATATTATTTTTCTTGGCTTCTCATCTAATTCCGCCCTGGAATCATGTCTTCTTGGTTTGTGGTCTACTCTACCCACTTGTTTCTCAGCCCCTTGTAAAGAATCTGTAACAATGATTTTCATTTTCCAATTATTGGTATTGTAATTGGTGTGAGCTTTGTAATCCGAATTGTATCCCTCATTACTCTCTTTATTAGCTAACAACAGCTCCTTCTTAACCACTCTTATGATAATACTTGACTCCATGCTCTAGCTTCTGCAACCATCGTAGGCAAATTTCTTGGATTTTGCATATGAACTAACTCTTGCATCTCCTAAGTTAACCCGTTACGAAATATGCCTTCCAACTCTGGCTTGGGCCTCTAATCGTCAAGTTACCAAAGCTCAACAACAAGCTTGCCTTAAACTGACTACAACTCTCAAAATCTTTTATGTTTATTTCCTAATTGTACCTGCTCAAAGCTTCACCTTGTAAACTCACTGATACCAAAACTAATTTCTCAGCATCATTATAACCTCCATTTCTGATAAACCTCTCCACTGTTGCAATCCAACCAAAGTTTCCCGAACTCTCAAAGGCTGCCATATCTACATTTTTGAGAAGATTTTCTCTAATCCCAGGCCTAATCTCACTAAGAAATGGATCCAGAGAAGAATTTTGTACCTGAATTTGTCGATTTTGTGCCACTACTACACCGGACTGACTTGAGCCACCCACCTCATACACCGTCCCCCGCCCCCAGTAAGGATTTAATCAAGAAATCCAATTTCTACCCAATGTCCACAAATTGCTGATCATGAATCCCGATCTTCGCACCCATATCTACCCTAAAAAATCAAGTTTTGTATCTATTCGATTCTCTGAAGCCCGAATCTTGTTCTTCATGTCCGTCAGTTGATCATAAAACTCTAAAACTCAATTGTCAAAGCTTCTGCTTGGTCCTCCGTCGACAACTCCCTTATCGGCGACAAACCATGTGTCAACACCATCATCATACCTTGAATCTTCCGATTGAAACAATTCCCCAAATCTTTTTAACCAAAACTCACTTCTTCGATTTCGTTCGGTCCGAGTCACGAGCACACCATTTGATAAGAAAGAAGAAAATGATTCTTTATTATCTGAAGTCTGAACTGAATAGTTACACAATTGAGAAGAAGAGCTCTCTCTCTCTCTCTCTCTCTCTCTCTCTCTCTCTCTCTCTCTCTCTCCTCTCTCTCTAGCAACACATACGCTGCTTTTAGACTATGTGCATTGGAGTTAAATAAATTCAACTGCTAAATCGTTACAAAAGGGCTGTTGAAAAAGTAGGAAAATCTACGTCGATTCAACTATGATGAATTTATTTCAACATGTTGAAAGAAAACCCGCGCATGCCATGTGTCATCACCTAATTGGAGTGTGTAGTTAACACACACGTTGGACGACTGAATCTTTTCTAGTTTTTTTTTTTGTTTTTTTTAAATAATGACACTTGTTATATTCTAATTGGCCGTTGAGATTTTGGAGAATTTCATCTCATCCTATCTATTCGCGATCAATTATTATATAATTAAAAAAAATATGAAAATCTATAACTTTTTAACTCTACAAATAGAGACTTGTTTCATATTATTTGGACATATAAAATAAAATACCATTTCTACTATAAATTTCTTATTATTCTCTTATAATTTCTATATTTAATTTTTAGTGGTTGACATTTCAAAAACATTATTCAAGAATCATAAAATAAATAAAATATTTATTACAAGATTATGTCACATTAATTAATATAATTTAATTTAGTCGATATTTTATCTTAATTTATCAGTAATTATTATAAATATGCAATCATGAAAATAAAAATATATAAGAAAATAAAAATATGAAATAAAAATAGTGGGGTAGTGGGTTGAATTTTCTTAAACAAATCCATTGTAGTGCTTAGAATTTAGATGGATATTGACTAATTATGTGAAAGAAAGAGAAAATGATGTGGAGTGTTAGACCATCTCCAAAAGGGGTTGTTAGTGGAACTGTTAGCTTAAAAGTGATTTAAATTAAATAAAAAAGAATTAGAATGTTAGATAAGGGGTTTAAGGGGTGGTTTCTTAGGCCATCTTTAATGGTATAATCGACCGGGCCTTAGGCTATTATTAAAAGCCCGAAAAAAGAAAACAGTAGAATTGGAAGGTCCATTCGGTTGTTGTTGAAGATGTTTTTGGATTCGATTCTTAGGCGACATGGCACACGTTGATAGGTTAAAAAATAAGTAAACGAAACGATATATTTTTTTGTGTTTTGTGAAAAACAAAAAAACCCAAATCGAATTTTCTCTCTGAAACCCTTGATGGAGAGATTGAAAGGAGAAACGATTTCATGCCTTTGAAATGACGATTGAGAAAACTCAACGATTGAGAGATGGTGAGAGAACAAAACGATTGAGAGATCTTGAAAGAACGATCTCTCTCTGTCAAAGAAAACGACAACGACAAGGATCTCGTCTTCTTCTCCGTCGTGGCACCGTCTTCTCCATCCAGTTCGTCTCGTCGTCACCGTCTTGTGGATCTTGTTCTTATCCTCCTCAGCGTCTCATCCCTGATGTGTCTCCATCCCCAAATCAATTATACAAAGGTACATGCAAGTCTCTTCTCTTCCTTCTTCTTCTGTTGTAAAGTTCCTTCTTTCGCTGAATTTACTTACCAAGATGCATGTAAAGTTTTTTCTTATTCATTCACACAAAAATTGCCTTGGATAGATAGATCTGTGGAGTTCGTTAGTGTATGGGCTTGTTTAATCTCGAGTCAAAACTTCATTTATGTGCTTCGGATATGTACGGTTTAATTTGTAGGCATCGAAATAATTTGTCAGTTCTACAAGTTATCAGCGGTAGTGTTCGGTTATAAGTATTTTGAAAGAGGATTTGTATGTGTTGTTAGTTTGATATTTCTTATGGGAGTCCGTTTTGAATTTGATTTCCAACTCGATGTAACGATTACTTTGTTGTGTTAGAAGAAATAAGTTTAGAAATGATATGTATGGAAAGTTATTAGAGTGTAACCATCAACCTTAATATATGATTCATATGTTTTCATTATGCATTTGATTTATGTGGAAAGATTACCCTTTATGCATATGATTATACTGAACCTTAACTCTTATTGTTTCCGTTGTTTGTGAGGATTGAAGTTAAGATAGCAAGGATACCTCAATCGGATTATAAACACTATTTTCTCCAAACTTATAGGTATGTGACACAATCCATTTAGTTCATAGTTAAAGGCATCATATTTTCTTGAATGTGAGGTCGATGAAGTGTAAAACAGTTGTGTATTGTTTACTCAATTTTTAATGTCTGAAATGTTAATTGTTCTTCCTTCCATAATTAGCTCACAGATCTGTTAGGCTCAATATTCTAACCTTTTGTTCTTTTAAATGCTTAGATGTCTAAAATTGTACTGTCTGAAATGTAGTATTGGTCTGTTAATTGTACCTGGATATTGAAATTTGATTGTCTTGCTTGATAGTTCTGACATTTGTGAAAAGTTTATATCTCTTAGCTTTGTTTTGTTGTTACACAACCACTTGATCTTGTTTCAACAAGATTACAAATTACAATTTCAAGTAAACGATCTTCTATGCTTTATGAACTTTGTTTGTATAATACCATTCTAACCTATAAAATGTGCTATCTTGGCAAATTGAATGAGTATAGAAGATGAGTTCTTTGTGATTGTTTCCCTTCATCCTTTAAACCATTCTTTCCAATGGATTCAAATAATAATTCGTATGGGGGTTCTCTTGGATACTTTAGCCTCAACAACTTCCCTTATGACAGCTTCTCTCAGAATGTAAACTTTGGGTCTTCTTAAGCCAGCCAATTCTATGACAAAAAAAAAAAAAAAAAAAAAGCCAGCCAATTCCCTGGTTTTAGTCAACAACCTACTTATGCCAGCTAAAACCCTTCTCAACCCACCCAAAACCCTTCCTTCAGCCAACATGGTCCAACTCAGTCTCAAGCCACCCCAAATGCTAATAAGGAGAGAAGGCAGAGGAACAGCTCAGATGATCTAGTATTGATAAGCGGCTGGTTAAACACATCCAAGGATGTGATTGTGGGCAATGACCAAAGGTCAGGCACCTTCTAGAAGAGGATTTCTGACTATTATGCAGCAAGTGAACGTGTATTGAATGATGCTGAACCTAGGCTGCCTGACCATTGCAAGCAAAGGTGGGGTAGAATCAACAAAGAGGTTAGCCATTTATGTGGAGCATTTGCAACTGCTGAGGGTGAAAAACCAAGTGAAATGAATGATGTAGACATTCTGAAGAATGCTCATGAAATTTACAACACTTTACAAGAAGAAGTTTACACTAGAGCATGCATGGGTGGAGTTGAAACAGGAACAGAAATGGTGTAGTCTAGGTGCAATGAATCCTTTTAGAAACACATCAAACAAGAGAAGGAGAGGTGAGGAGGCGCCACCATCTTCTGGTTCTATTGAAAATGAGGAAGAGAGCAGGCCTGAAGGTGTTATTGCAATGAAAGCTAAAAGGTATAAGGGAAAAGAGAAGGCTGGAGCTTCTGCTGAGTATTCGACACTGTGGGAGAACAAACATAAGGATAATGAGGCCAAGAAGGAACTCCAAAAGATGTCCATTCTTAACACTCTCATTGCCAAGATCCAACCACTCGGTGAAGATGAAATTGCTCTTAAGAAAAAGCTCATGGCTGAACTATTCTAAGTATTATCTGTCTAACAATATATCTCTAAATGTATTATCTATTTTATGTTAAGTAGCTAAGTTGTTTGAAATATCTTAATGTATTAGTTGTATGAAAATATCTAAATGTCTGAGTTGTATAAATATCTAAATGTTTGAGTTGTATGAAATATCTAAATGTTGTATGAATATCTTAATATTTGAGTTGTATGAAATATCATAATGTCTGAGTTGTATGAGTTCTTTGTAATATGTAAATGTATATGATCTTTGAAAAATATATATGTATGAGTTGTTTGAATCCATAACAGATCTGAGTTGTGTCTAACTACTTCTCATTTGTTTACAATAAGATATACAGTTTTTGTTGGTTCATGTTTGTGTTTGGTACACCAACCAATTTTGTAGCTAATTTTGATTTGTTTTTGGTTTGTAACAGGGCACTTCATCTTTTCTGATAAAAGAACCATTCAGATTGAGGCAACCCTGCTCTACTATGGTTACTTGTTTTAAAACCTTTTCTCGTCTAGTAAGTTCTTCTAAAACCCTTTGCTTCTATGCTCTGATCCTGTAGAATAGAGAATTATATATTGTGTTATAACATGGACTTACTATCTGTTGTTTGAAAGTTATATATGTTTGCTACCATTTGTGTACCTAATTAATCTGTTTTGGTTTGTAACAGGGCAGTGAATGCTATTGTTATAAACCAACCAACTAGATATGAGGCAACCCTTCTCTACTCTGGTTAGGTCTTTTATACCTTCTCTCCTGGAGATAGTTCTTGTACAACCTTTTGCTCTACTAATGTACTATAGAGATTGTGTTTAATCATGTAATGTTAGATAGTGTTTAACTTTTTGCTCACATGGACTGTTAATTATAGATAGTGTTTAATCATGTTTTGGTTTGTAACAGGGTAGTGAATGTTTAATCAAGTAATGTTAGATAATGTTTAACCTTTTGCTCACATGGACTGTTAATTATAGATAGTGTTTAATCATGTTTTGGTTTGTAACGGGGCACTGAATGTTTAATCATGTAATGTTAGATAGTGTTTAACCTTTTGCTCACATGGACTGTTAATTATAGATAGTGTTTAATCAGGTAATCTGGTTTGACAAGAAGTTTATCCGATTCTTTTCAGGTGAAGTCTAATATGGGACATGATTATAGCTACTCACAACCATCTACTTCAGATCCGAGTGACCAATACTCACAAGACACCGCAGATAGGGAAACAAAAGGATACATTGATGGATGAAGCTCAGAGCAGTTATCACTTTGCTCAGCCTATTCAACCAGAGGTTGAGGTTTGAATTCCGAAGTAATGTTATTGTGGATGTCAACCTCTTCTTCATACCTCATACACAAGAAATGATCCGGGGAGAAGGTCAGCTAGAATTATCTTAATTCTTTGTTAGTTATGAACTTGCTGGATTATGTATGGCTGAATTATGACAAGAAGAAATTGTTTTTGTTGGTGGTGCAGGTTCTACACTTGTGAAAATGTCTCTGATGGAGAGATGAACATCCACAAGTGGTGGGATGTGGCAGTTATGGAGGATTTGAGAGAAAGGGCCACATTAGATGAATTGTCCCAAGAAAAGGTGAGAGACCAATATAGTAAAAGTGATGAAAAGATTAAGGCACTTGAGAAGGTAGTTCATGAGTTGCAGAAGAGTAAGCTTGTAGTGGGATATGAGTTGGTTATTGGTGCCAGCTTTTCTATATAAAAGAAGGAAACCTTTCCCCTTCCATTGTAACTCATAATCGCTTATCACATCTCTTTCCATACAATCGTATATCACCTTTTTCTCTCAAAATAAACCTCTACTGGAAAACCTTTTTCTCTCAAAATAATCCACTTACCAACACATAAATCTCTTCCAAAACTCAACCAATATTTTCACTCAATTTCTCCAAAATTACATCTTCCACAAACACAACAATCGTCTCTAAAATTACATCTTCCACAAACACAAAATGGCTTCCTCTTCAAATAATTTTCACTATCATTATAACGCTAATAATGATAATGGATATGACAAATATTATCAAGACCTATTTGATAATCAAGTAGATGCGACATTAGAAGGTATACCGCCATAAAGAAAAAACGTACGTATATTGAAAGAAATCGGGAAGAAGGCCACGAACGTTTGTGGAACGATTATTTTAGTGACAATCCTACTTACACGGAGAAGCTATTTCGAAGACGGTTTTGAATGAACAAACCATTGTTTATGCGTATTGTCAATCATCTCTCTACAGAAGTTCTATATTTTCAACCGAATAAGATGCAACATTACGAAATGGTATATCACTGCTCCAAAAAAGTACTGCAGCAATTCGACTATTAGCATACGGGGGTGGGACGGACACGGTTGACGAATATTTACGTCTTGGTGAAACAACAGCTCGTAAGTGTTTGGAACATTTTTGTCGTGGGAATTGTTGACTTGTTTGACGAAGAATACCTAAGGCGGCCTACAGAAGAGGATCTCCAAAGGCTACTCTATATTGGAGAACAACGAGATTTTCCCGTGATGGTTGGCAGCATTGATTGTATGCATTGGGGGTGAAAAAATTGTCCAACCGCATGGAAAGGTATGTATTCAAGAGGTACCTGAAAACCAACTATTGTTTTGGAGGCGGTTGCTTCACAAGATCTCTGGATTTGGCACACGTTTTTTGGTCACCTAGGTACTTGTAACGATTTTAATGTTCTTGATCAATCACCAGTATTTAACGACATTATACAAGGTCAAGCTCCCCAAATGAACTACTATGTCAACGGAAGGGAGTATAACATGTCTTACTATCTTACGGATGGTATTTACCCCGACTATGCGACATTTATTCAATCCATCCGACTACCACAAAGCCCAAAACATTCTTTGTTTGCAACACGTCAAGAATGTGCACGGAAAGATGTTGAGCGTGCATTTGGAGTCCTCCAAGCAAGATTCGCCAGGGTTAAGAATCCATGTCTTTTATGGAAAAAAGGAAAAATAGCATATATTATGAGAGCATGTCTCATACTCCATAATATGATTGTCGAAGATGAAAGACATTCATACACTCTCTTTGACAAACATGAATTCCAAGAAGGTGCCCCGGATCTTACGTTTTCAAAAAATATGGCTACAAATCTCGATGGTATAGGTGATCGTCGCAGAAGAATACGTGATAAACAAGCGCATCACCAATTGAAAGAGGATTTGATTGAGAATACATGGACTAAATTTGGACATCTTTCAAATGATTAAAAGCTTTATAAACTTTGTATTAATTTCATAAAAATTTTTGTGCTTAAATTATTATGTTTCTATATATTAATGTTTGTCATTTTAATGTTTAAGTTTGTATCTTTTGTGTTTCTCATTTTTATCTAAATTGTATTTTTTCAATAATTTCGATTTGTATTTTCTTTATATTTTAAGTTTCAAATATGTTTTATGTTTATTTTTTATAAGTTTTCAATTTATTGTTAATTATAAAATTTAATAAATAACTAATATATTTATATTATTATATTATTAAAATTTTAAGATACTAGAAGTTCAACCAATAATCACCACTTAATCAAATGTTCTTAACTTACTCTTTAATATTATTATTATACATATAATTCCCTAAGATACATCTTCTAAGTTATATTTATAAAGATGCTCTTAGATAACAGGTTTAAGGGGTGGTTCTTAAAGATGACGTGGCAGCGCAAGATTGGTTGCAAACTGTAGGAAAAAATATTATATTTAAAATAAATATTTTTTCTTTTGTATGTTTTAAATTGTATGTAATTAAATCTTTAGTATGTTTTATATTTTATTTAATGCAATATAATTTTGAATTTTAATATTTTAACGAAATAAATTATATTTATGAGAAATAAAATATTTATTTTTAAGAGCTCTTAATGAGGTTCACTATTCGAGGAGGACAAAATAAAACATATCTAATAGGTTCATAACGTTTAATTAATCATAAAATTTTATTGAAAAATATCTAAGAACTCTTAACAAAGGTTCACATTTGGAGATGCTCTTAATATTACGGTGTTCAATAATGTTGCAAATAGTCTCACGACTCAATACAAAAGCGTAAATAATCGTAAATGTCATTTGCTACAGTTATATACATGTATTTTTACTCTCACGTTCTTTCTTCTTCTTCTGCATGTGTGTATTTGTTTTATTCTTTCTCCTTATATACACTTGTAGAGGTTTATCAAAAGCAGCTAAAGAAGTGCCAAAAGCCAGTACCGAGGATGCGATTGCGGCTGCTAAAGAACGGTTCAGCCTAATGATTGATTGATACTTTTTAAAATTAATTAAAATAAAGATCAGAGAATGGTTTCCAAGTCTTTTCCAATATTAAAAATAAAGTAATTTCCTCTAAACTCCCATATATATGTTTTGTATGAATAAAGAGTTCAAAATTATAAAAGCAAGGAGACGTCGTTCGTATGGTATCTGCATAGCCGAAATATTCCAATCTAAGCAAAACCGGACATGTTACTTGCATATAAACTTAAGTAATGACGAGAAGATCCAAATCTTCCATTGTATCTCCATATCCGCAATAACAACACCGTCGGCCTCACCGTGTCTCACTAGTAAAGCCCAGGTAGGGTTACTGGTGTCGTTATATTTTGCTATAACAGCTTCCCACTTCTTATGGGTTGGGTTGATCGATGACAGTTTCACCTAGATAAACCAATAATTAATCGTAACTTTAGGGTTATAATGATTTTTTTTTCTTTTACTTATTCTACAAGTAAGAAAGAAACTTGAAAAAATACTTACAATTACACTTAAGTTTTTGGAGTGGCAGTTAACGTAGAAAAATTAAAGCGCACAAAAAATAGGTTAATCTTTTGTCCGATCTGCTTTGTTACTTCTTCTTCAGTCATTGACTCATCATTGTTTCTTTTCTTTAAGCTTTGATGAAACCTCTTTGTAAGGTTTTTAGGGTAAACTATATATATGACTAGCAGTTGACCCGCGCTGCGCGCGGGAGGTTTATAATTTTGTTTTGTTAAATTTTTATTCATATTGTTATATTTTATTATCTTTTATAATTGATTTTCAAAAAATATTATAATTATTTTCTCTTTATATATTATCTTTCATTACTCAAATTTGGATTAAAAGCATTTGATTCAATTTATGAAATATCATTTTTTTCTTTTTGATCATGTTATAAACTAAAATTTCACTTTCCGTTTTATTTTTCCTCTTTATAATTTTATATATACAATATCAAAATTACATAAATATTGATTTATTTTACCATAAATTTAAAATTTACTTCCATTCTAAAACTCAGTAACATATTTAAAATTTTAAACTATGATCAGCTTAAAATGAAAGTTGAATTATATTATTACCACTAATAAAAAAAATTCAAGTATTGTTTTTCTTATTTTAACATTTCATTTATTTTACATAATTTATTTTTATATGTATAAAATTTCTATTAATTAAATAAGTAACATAAATATGTACTAAAATAATGTTTTAAACTTATTTTAATGTAAAAACAAAAATGTGGCTTAGGTGGATGCTTATGTGGCATCATGAGAAGAGAATAGCTAACTTTATATATATAGATACGTAGATTTTTTTTACAAAAACTTAATCTTCACGGAATTTTGAAATTAGTTGTTTTAAATTAAGTTACTTGTTTCAAAAATTATTATTTTTATTCTAATTTTAACATATGGCAGGTAACTCAGCAAAAATTTGTACATGTGGCATATGACTCAGTCTGCATACTTGGGAGCTGATTCATTGTAGTTGACCAACATAATCCTGGTCAATGTTGATTTTGGCACAAATTTGATAGTTCATGGTGTTTATTCAAAAACAATATTCAGTTCATGTTGAAATTCACACGTTATCAAAGTTGAGGTATACAAATACATTTTTGAAATTGTTCAGGTTGAAATTTGCCCTTTACCTGGGTGGAGAGTTATATATATGGTTTTGAAATCTTCTATAAACAAGACAAACAAAATATATCGAAAAGGAAAAATGTAACAATTAAGAATTAGAGAAATAGAAATATCCTATTTTATTTACTTTTCATGTAATATAGAAACATCCTTTATAATTTCAATTCCTGACATTTTATATTTCATACGGTTTTGATAGGTTTGATACATATATTATACATCCGGAGATGAATGTGTTGATATGTCATACATTTATATTTCGGAAACATTAAGTATATATGACTAAACCAAACTCTATGTCAGGCATCTATATTTCTGGACAAAGGAAAGTTAAATCTCCCACTAAGAATTTTGAGAATCGACTCAAATCAAATCCCTAAAAAACATTTGACGCTGCCAGGGAAAACGGGGAAAATGAACCCAAACTATTCCCCGAAGGCATTTTCATACTCAAACTCGCGTACTCTGAATTTTACAACCCAAACCAGCTTTGAATTCAAATAAACAACCTGAACCACATCAATTTTTTTCGATTTCAACCTCGACGTTAACATTATCCCTGTCCATCTTGAAGATTTGGACAATTAAGCTTAAGCTTTTGTAAAACCCAAGTCCAAAAGCTTAAGCTTGATTGTCCAAATCTTCAAGATGTGCAGGGATATTGTTAACGTCGAGGTTGAAATCGACAAATAATGATGTGGTTCATGTTAGTTATTTGAATTGAAAGCTGGTCTGGGTTGTAAAATTCAGAGTACGCGAGTTTGGGTATGAAAATGCCTTCGGGGAATAGTTTGGGTTGATTTTCCCCGTTTTCCCGACGCTGCCATGATACTCTCCAAAAAA